TGGGGTTGGAACAGGCCCGTGTGCTCAGACAAAGCCGGCTGCGCACAGAGGCTCCGAAACAACGATCACGTACCGCAGTAGGCGAACTTGAGCGAGAGCACGCAGCTCTCATGCAGGTGCAGCTGGTATTTGTCGGGCTTGGACACGTGCAGCACCTCCACGTTGCTGCTCTCCATCCCTACGGCCAGCCAGTCTCCTGTGGGACAGTGGCCCAGAGAGAAGATCTGGACGGAGAGGAGGAGGTGGGGGTCAGGAGGCAGACGTGAGGTAAACCAGGCAGACTCAATGTTCTCAGAGCAGGGGGTGTGAACGCAGAGGCCGAACTGACCAATCGCTGCAGTCTGTCCCATTGCGGCCCCACCCCTTACCTGGGAGGTGAAGTCATGCTGCTGCAGTTGCCGCCCCTCCCTCAGGTCCCACCCGCGCACCGTGTTGTCCAGCCCCCCCGTCCACAGCTTGGTCCCGTCGTTGGAGATGTCGATGCAACTGGCCCCATCTGTGTGGCCCTGGAACTGTCTGGGAGGCCCAGGGAGCAATCGGCATACTGTCAGGTACTTGTTAATACTTCACTTTTCAGTATGTAACAGGGGTAAATACAGGGGCGGGGCCACAGGGGCAGTAGCCCCAGCTGATTGGCCCTCTCCCTGTCACTCATCAATTCAAAACATAAATCATTGGCTGATGATGAAGTTGGCCCCCCTATATAAATTAAGGCCCACCTTACGATATCCTAGTATCACCCCTACCGTGTATCCTAAGCCCCCCCCTCAACTCTCCCCCATGGCAATATTTACCTGACCAAGGTCTGGTTATGCAGGTCCCAGACCACAATGTTTCCGTCGCTGCAGCAGGAGAAGCAAACCTTGTTGTCGGGGCTGATGGCCAGAGCGTAGCAGGCGGGGGCCGATGATGTCAGCTCCGCCTTGATGCGGGGGGTGGGTGTGGCCAGGTCCCAGATGGACAGGGTGCTGGCCTCCCCTCCCACTATCAGAGTTCGCCCGTCGGGGAGGAGCTTACAGGAGCGGATGTAGTTGTCTCTGTTCTGATCAGGTGACACAGAATCATTGCGGTTAAGGTGCCGCATTCGGCCCTCGGCACACGCTCATGCCGCTGGAGAATCCTCCCCAGAAATGCTAGCGGAGCGGCTAATGCTAACAGCCCCGTCCGGCCGGCGCTCACCAGGCAGTCCAGCTGGGCCATGGCGCTCTTGCTGCCCGGCTGGCTGATGTCCCACACCTTCACGCAGCCCTTGCCGCCGGTGTAGACGTGCCGCGTGGAGGCGCTGATGGTGACGGCGCACACCACCTCCCCGTGGCTCAGCGTGTGGATCTGCCGGGCGTGGCGCGGGATCCCGGGGCCCAGCAGGGCGTCGGGGGGGAAGGGTACAGGCTGCATCTGCCCGTCCGCGCTCACGTGGAAGGAGTAGGCCCTGCGACAGGGGGAGAGGAGAGGAGACTCTGGGTTAACACTCAGGATAGTAACACTGACACTGGAACACTGTGGTCAGTAACACAGATTGACGCACTAACAGTCATGACTTTGATGCTTCGAAGAAAAACTTTGGTCAATTTCACCCTCAACTTTCCCAGTCAAGCACAGAAACCCCCCCCCCCCAAACTAGGCATGAAACGAAGCCAGAAAAACAAGCATGAGATTTGTGGCGAAATCCCACAGTCATCAGAAATGAGGTCCCACTCATCAGGCCAGTATCTCAGGGACCGTTAAAGACAGGGCTCTCGCCATCACATGACAATGTAATGATTATACGGCACGTGAGTAATCACCACCAGGGGCTTTGGATGACAAGTGAACCTCAAAAAGTACCGTCACACCACCAACATCTTCCTGCCTTGTTTATCCGCAATATCTCCTCTTTCAAAACATGTTCTGGCTGCTAAGCTGCCCCTTTCTTCACCGCCACTTCAGTGGTTATCGCTTCTATGACTTACTAAAACAGTAGCGTGTGTCGTGCTCTGCTAGCCGAATGTAATACACACACGGATATGCTGAATTTATCCAGACTACTGACTTTCGGGCGTCACAAAAGGCATCTCATTATTATCTTAGCCACACTATTGATCTGCTTACCGAATTGTAGGCGTCACTGTATGTCCATAAAGCACAGAAAAACTGGCGTCCAGACAAATGTGTCACCCATCATATATAATACCATTTATAATCGCGATTACATCACGACAGCCCTAGTTAAAGATAACGACGAATTTCTTTTTTGTATCTTTCTCATAAAAATAAAACAGCGCGACTTATTAAATCTAACTCGGGCCAATTTTTCAATTTTTCATTTTTTTTTTTTTATCTGCCAGCATCGAATAATAACGATAACTCTACTCACGGTTTAGCAGACGATGCAGACTGCATTGCAGCAGGAATGCTGGAGACCCTCATGTGTGGATGGGGTGACTCGTACCCCACCTGGTGAACAGCAGCATCGAGAAGCGTGACTCAGTCCTCTCTCTCACACACACACACACACACACACACACACACACACACACAGCCGGTGGTTTTCATCCCACTTACCACAGGAGATTGGCTGTACCCAGCGGCCGCTGAACCGTTAATCTGGGAGGACACTAGGTGCAGTCCCACTCCGTATCCTGCTGCCCCACCTAGTTCCCCGTTTGCCCCTGGGGGGGCCAATCCAAAGGCCCCGGGCGGGTAGGCCCCCTGCACTGCCAGAGGGTTCCGCAGGCCCAGGGCTGGGGAGGGACGAGAGGGGGGCAAAAAAAACCAGATGTAACAGATGCTGAATTCATGCAGGTCTGGCTCACTTTGACTGAGCCATTCTCTATATCAGGCTTATAGTGTTACCTTGCCGTTTTAATCAGATTTACAAGTGAGAGATCCTACCAAAGATAGCAGTTTCCTGTCTGGGGTATAAAAACATTCACGGAACCATGTGCTTATTGTATTGGATTCCCTAACCTTTATATTCTAATAACATTCACATAGTGTTACACATCTGATTAAACCTGAGACAAAAAATACATATGAATAAGCAAACGGACGCAGCAGGACCCGTACGTCTAAAAATAAAATCTTTTGTTCCCAGGGAGGGAAAAAAACTTGGAAAAACACATAATGGTTAGTGAGCCAAAATACTTCAAAAGCTATAGCAATCTGTTTTCTACATAACCTAAGCCAAGAGTTTAGCATTTCTGTAAAACTACACTGCTCAGTACAACGAGGGGGGGGTGAAGGTGGGGGTGAGGGGAGGGGGTACGGCTGCTGACTCCGAGACGCTGTGACATCCAACTACCAGGCAGGAATCTACCACGACACATTATCCTAGCATCTGTGTCATGGTTGCCAGCGATAAAGTGCATCCCTGCAGAAGGCACGTGGGTATAATGCTTCACAGCCTTCGGAAAAAACGCTTTATCTCCATCTGTGAAGCGGAGTACTGAAATAACTTAGCAGGGTGGCACCGGGGAGGGGGGGTTGGTAGGGGAAGACAACCCTGAAGTCACACTGCCCTCTGCTGGTAGCAGCCTGGTACTGCGGTTTACCAATATCACCCAAACTGAAAAAAATTCATTGAGAGAGGAGGACAAAATCCCAAGGATCCGATAAGCGATTGCCTCTTAACCGTGTGGTGACGGGTACGCGGTTTTTGGTACCTACCGAGGGCGTCCATACCAGGCTTCCCGAGAACAGGTCGGAACTGGGGGGGTCCACTGGAGCCAGGGGTGGACGACTCCGGCATAGAGGTACCTGGCTTCAGCGAGGGGGTGCTGGACTTGTCAGCCTTTGGGAGGGAGAGAAGTATAAAAGGCATATGAAGGCCCACTCTTTGGTGCAGCGGTGCAAAGGATTCTGGGAAGCATCCGCTTGCTGATGCAAGACAGGGGCACTTTGGAATGTCCGCATATGCGTACCCCTGACTCCCCACGGCTGCGGGACGGAGAGGCCGCGCTGCTGGAGGAGGCCAGAGAGGCGGGGCTGGCCCGAGGCTGCGCCTCCTTCCGGGAGGCCGGCAGCTTCTCCAGGCCATTCTCACGCGACGAGTAAGACTGCACACTGCGAGGAGATGAGGGGTCCTGGAACAGCGGGAGAGGTCAGAGGTCACCGCGCTCACGCCGAATGGGTGAGTGGGCCAGTGCACTGAGACACGGTGTTTAAGAGCTGTCCCTCCACCCCTCCAAAGTGGTTTAACCCAGACAAATTGCCTAATTAGCACACCGAACAAATACAGCAAAGACGAAGAGATACAATTTACTTGGGTTAAGTGTTTGCAAAACATGTCAGAGATTATCATTTCAAATTAATTGAAAATGGCTACACATGGGCTACATATTATAGTAGGACAAAGGAAGGGAGGTGTAAACACAGTAGGGCCCTTTAATAGCCCACAAGCATGTCCATCTTCTGCACCCCAGGAGTCTTTGCAGGGAAGGTGGGTGATTTATGTTTGGGTAACCATATGAATTACAGCCAGTCTTACGCCTTCCACCTTAAAAACAACCTAGAACTGCCCGTTGTGTCTTTCACTGTCATATCAGCCGCAGAAGGGCGCGATTCCCTGGGCACAAGAACACACACCTCATCCACCACCAGGTTGTCATCACTCTTCTCAGCATCGCTGCCCTGGGAGGGAGAGAGAGAGAGAGAGAGAGAGACACAGACACATTTAACTCCTTTCCTGCCAGAGGGAAATGAGATTTTCAGCATGAGGTGTGCAGGTCAGCCATTAACAAAGGAAGGAAACCAGCTCACATAGTCGGGCATGAAGTCCTTGTCTTCTGCCTTCCGCTTTTTCCCATTGCTGAGGTAGTCAGCTGGCCGACCTTTATCCCCATTAGTTAGTGAGCTCTGGGGGGGGAGGGGGGGGGGTCAAACAATGATTACACTCCAAATTGTTCACATTAGTCTAGTCTAAGTCACGGGGGGGGGAGCATCCCAGCCAGTGTACTCACCGGGCCAGCCTCTCGGTCTATGTCCATTGTCATTGGTAAAACCGTGTCGGCAGCACCAGCCAATCAGGAGAGAGACAAACAAAGACATTGAAAGCAGCATCTCAGCATTTCCTCTGTGCTCGCATTCACCTATCTAGAGCAACTTGGTATAGGAGTCTATAAAGGCAGAGGAACAGTCAAGGGCAGGCTGACCGCAAGCATGGCGCAAAGTCGGTATTGACGAGCATCACAGGGTCGAAAAATTCAGAAAATGTTCCCGTTAATTCCCCTGGAAAGTTTCCAATTTGGAATATTTCCAAAATTCCACAGCTTAACCTCCCATGGCATGGGAAGTTTCTGGGAAGTTTCTGGAAATGTTTGAAGCGGGGGAAAAAAAAAAAAAAAGAAACCAGTCCTAGATGATAGGTAGCAGAATGTAAAGGCGACTGCGAGAGGCGTCACAGCCAGGGTGGGAAAGGAGCAGGAATGAGCCACATCCCAGAATGCAACACCTACCTCTGTGGTGCTCGGCAGCAGCGGCCTCCAGGTGGGCCCTCTCATCCTTGGCGACAAGCTGAGCCCCGAGGGCCCCGGAGAGGGCCAGCAGGCCAGGGTGCTGGAGGCCAGAGGGGTGGGGGCCGAGTGGCAGGCTGGCATGCTGAGAGAGGTGCTGGGCCTGCAGCTGCTGCTGTCAGGGGGAGGACAACAGAAAGCACATCATGATTTGGGGAAGGATTGGTATCCAGAGGAAGGGGGGCAGAGAGACTTGGAATGCCCCAGTAAGAGGCTAATCGGAATACTGGTATGTGTCACCTTTAGCCAGTTACACTTAAACCACCAAGGAGTGGGTTTACCCATCCTCACCACCTACAGATGCTCTTGGGAGGAGGGGTTACTTTTAATTTGAAAGCAATTTCACGGTCACTATACCATAATAAAAGTCCCTCCCCCACAGACACACTACGAGGAGCCCCTGTGACAGATCTGGGTCTGGGAGCGACACACAATAAGCGGTGAAGAGAAGCGTGACGCGTGTGGGGATGTCACGGCCCCCCGAGCCCACCACCACACCACCGGCACCCACGGAGACATGCTGATGAAAGAGAGGGGAAAAGCGTGAAAGCAGAAGGACCGTTCGCAACATTTACACGACGAAGCTGGGGAGGAGGAGGGAGTTCAAGGGCAAGGCGGCAAGTGTGTAACGCTGATCATCTCCAAAAGCCACAAAAGGAGGAATCCAAGAAACCGCCCAATTACATCAGCGTACATGTGCAAACAGGTCTGAATAACTGAGATGCCAGCATCAGTTGTAGGTTTCGGCTCGCCCTTATTGGCTGATCTCGCCCCCTATTGGCTGATCTCGCCCCCTATTGGCTGATCTCGCCCCCTATTGGCTGATCTCGCCCCTGCCACCACACAAGCTTGCAGTGCGACAACGGTGCCTCCGTGCTGAAGCAGACAGGGAGCAAAAGCGTATGACTGAGGTACACAGTGTGGAAGGCAGGAGGGGCAGTCCACGTACCCCTATGGCAGCATTCAACTCCCCTATAGTCACCTGCTTGGCACGTTCCATGGCTTGGACCACCTGCTGCTGGTGCTGAAGGTCAAACCAAAGCAAAGGATGAGGAGGGAAAAACAAATCGAGTACTGTTCACCAATGACATCAACGTGAGATGACAGCAAGTCTAATTATGTCAAGCTGTTCTGGTAATATGCACAAGAATATCATTTTGAAAACTCATGACTCAGTAGAATTTTTGCATACACTCAAAATACGTAGGAGAAACTCACCTCCTGTGACAGGAAGGGAATGAGTTGGGCGCAGATCACGTTCAGCCGCTTGGCGATCTCGGTCTGGAGAGATGAGCACAGTAAATCATCAGAACTGTGTACATGAGAGGCAGAGGTCACCCTAACGCCCCCTAGTGGACATCCCACACATGCGCAGATACCAGTGGGACATTGTTTGGGCTAAACAGTGGTTTTAAGGCCGGCAGCACTAAGGGCACACGAAGAATAAACAGTGGGTATAGGGCTAAAATGCCACAATGCCTTGTAGATGCTCAGGGGCAATCATATGTCACTTTATGGCAAATGACCCCCCCCCCCAAATACCCAGGGGGTAAGAGACAAAGGGAGGCTCTGCACTGCTGGGGG